ATCAAATTTTCAGCAGTGGGGTATCTTCTAAAAATCCCCCATGCTTTCTTTTGTGCTTTAAATGCTGCCTCACAATTCTGGTTCCACCATGGTTTAGGATGTTTTGGATATCTAGTTGATGTCTTCCCCATTGTTTTTTCTGCTGCCTGAATGATACTCGAAGTGACAACCTCAACTGCATCATTGATATCAGCAGTATTGACCATTTCCTCAGTGATGTTAGCCAAAGTGGAAAATGAAGGCCAATCTGCCGTTTCAAGTTTCCAGCGTGGTGGACGAGCTGTTTCACAGCTTTCTCTGCCTCGGTATTTTAGAAATATTGGGAAGTGGTCACTAGAGTAGATTACATCCAACCTCCCATATAAATGCTGAAAACAGGTTTGGACTCGCTAATGAAAGATCAATTGCAGTGAATGTCCTTGTTGGGGCGTGGAAGTATGTCACTTCTCCAGTATTAAATAAATATATTTCCTGATTGCCAATAAATCTCTCAATGGCTCTGCCTCGACAATTGATGTCGGGACTGCGCCACATGGGATTGTGGCCATTGAAATCACCCAGTAAAAGGAATGGAGTTGGCAGCTGTTCAACTAATGAATCCAATTCATCCTCATTCACTCTGACATCTGGTGGCAAGTATATAGAGCAAACTGTGACAGTTACTCCAATAGATAATCTGGCTGCCACAGCTTGCAAATCAGTGGTTATTTGTACTGGCAAGGATGGGATGTGATTGGAAACCAAAATAGCCACACCTCCACTGGCATGGTTGTGGCTATCATCATCCTTGCCGTAGAAATCAAATCCTTTTAAAGAAATATTTTCTGCAGGTTTTAGATGGGTTTCCTGGAGTGCCACACAGAGAGATTGAATAGATGATGTCAGGTATTTAATGTCAGAGAAGTTGTTGCGGAAACCACGACAGTTCCATTGGATTATTTTATAATCCATTATGTGTTTGAGGCAGCATTTTTAGCAAGGGTATCCCTCTTCATTTTATCAGAAGGTTTTTCTTTTGGAGGTGATATTGGTTTTGTCACCTCCTGATTAGTCTCTTCATCAGAGATATCAGAGAACTCACTCATGGACTGAGTCTCTGATCTTTTAGCTTTAGAGAAGGCTGCTTTTAATTTTTGTTTGGTAAGTGGGTTCTTATTTGCTTTCTTAGAACCCACGTTTCTGGTTACTATCCCTGTTTTAGATATGGGTGTCTTTGTCTTGATGCTTTCCTTTTCTTCGGTTTGTTTTGATTGGATTAGCAAACATTTTGCGTGGCGAGTGAGAGATTCTTTTGAGGAGACAGAAATATCTGTTTGTACCCCACATGTTTTAGTAGATTTCACTGCAGCAGCAAATGTCTTTTGTTTCGTTGATGAACTTAAGATGGCCATGCGACGGGCCTCTGTGTATGATATGTTATTTACGGTTTTAATCCGTAGGACCTCTTTTTCTCTCTGCCACGCAGGACATTTTCGGGAGTAGGAAGGATGGGCATCTTTACAGTTCACACAGCATGGGGTACTTTTACATTCAGTGCTGTTGTGGTCTTCCATCCCACACTGTGCACATACGCTTTTGCCTCGACAAGATGTTTGTAAATGTCCAAACCGCTGGCATTTGAAGCAACGCAGCAGATTTGGTATGTAAGGACAGACGGGGCAGCGCAGATATCCTGCAATAATGAAGAATGGCAATGTTGGCTTGTCAAATGTCACAATTAAATGTTTTGTTAGTATTAACTTACCGTCTCGACAAATGGAGATACGTCAGACAGCAGTGACACCTTGATCTGAGAGACCGATCTGAATATCTGCTTCATCTTCAGACATTAGGTCGGTCTCAGATATCACACCACGTGATGAGTTTAAACTTTTGTGTGATGTGATTGAAACTCCCATATCTCCGAGTGCTTTCATTGACAGAAGCTTTGCTGTTTGTTGAGGAGAGGCTGTTTCCACCAGAAGGTCACCTGACCTCAATTTCTGTATTTTCCTTAAATGCCCGATGGTTGATTCAAATAATTTTTGGATCAAGAATGGGGAACACTTAGATGAAGGTTTTTCTCCAGTTGCGTGGACTACTAAGTACGCTGGCTGACTGGAAATCTTTTCATTTGTTGTCGTTGTTGGCTTGTCTAGATTTTTTGTTTTTTGAGAATCCATATTTAAAAATAGATATTCAGCTCCTAGTGACCCCACCCACCATGGGGCCCAACAAGGGGATGCCGTCACATGGAAGAGTACCATAGACCGTCACACCAGGGTTTCCCAGGAGCTATACCCTCACAATGCAGTCAAGAAGAGCACATCTTGTCTGATGTGTCCGCCTGATCTGCATCGATCAGTTGACTCCAAGCCGAGGTCAAGAATGACTCAACGACCAGCCGAATGACTCAAACGGAGCCTGATTTGAGCCTCCCGTTTATCCGAAGCAGGGGCCAAAGCAGTGTGTTGGGGACGTTATGTTGCCCCTCAACTACCAGGATCCCCCTTTCCGGCATACGGGACACCACGCAGCAAACACGTGGGTGGGCGTTCAGATCCCAGGGATGGTAAAGAAAAGTTACTAAACCATCTCAGGGAGGTCCCCTCACCACAGACAGAAACCCACATTGAGGGGTTTGAATGTCTTCATCCTGTGCTTGCACACAGGCATGAAATTTCTGCAATCTTAATGAGTATGGAACCCTCTCGAATCGTTTTATCATAAGTTTCTTAAATTCATCGTAAGTGTCTGCTGCTTTCATTTTTTCATCCTTCCATGCATAATCTCGGGCTATCCCAGTTAATTTTAATTTCGCCAATCTTAAGCATCGCCCTTTAGTCCAATTAGTCAGTTTACCTATCTCATCTATGGCTGCTAAATAATCTGTTACCTTAAGTCCCTCAGTTTCTCCTGCAAAGGACAGTATCAAGGAAACGAGGGCCCCTAATCCGCCCCCAGCAAAACTTCCGGCAGTCTCTCCTTCTGCTCCACGCGATGGTCCTTCTCCCGGGGTTTCCATCCCCGTATTCAGTTATTTTATAAGTAAATCGGATCCCAATTCTGACACCACTGTGACCGAAGGGTCGGCACCTCTTCGGTGCCCTGTCAGGATGACACCACCGCGTCTCGGCGGACACGGAAGCCGCGTTATTTAGGTAACGCGAGCAGTCGCGTAACGGAGCGATCAGAGTCGAGATAGAAGGAGAGACAGCGCACTGGAAGTGATTTACTCAGACGCTTTTTTAACGTAACAACTGTTTAATGGTTAACGATAGGATATACATTAGTGCTGCTGTTAGATACATTAGGGCTGCTATTAGATACATTGCTCGCTTTAGTATATAATAATATTAAGATATTACGTTATTAAGATATTACGTTTCTTCCCGTTTTGAGAGAGAGAGTTTACAGTAGTTCGCGTGTTGATAGTTACCTTGTATGAAAGCTTGATCTGGATCTCAGTCGGTAAGACAGAAAGTTCGGGAAGTCCAATAATCCAATAGTTCTTTTTCTTTGATATTAGGCGATTCTTGATATTAGACGATTTTTTGGATATTGGTCACAAGCGAAGAGGTATGTATCCCAAGGAGCACAGATTTTTCGTAGACGTAATCCCAAGAAAGAACTGGCGACGACTGACTCACTTTGTTGTTCTTCTCTAATGTTGAATTGTTAAAATTGCTATACTGGGTCGAAAGGTGATGAGAAAGCGTCGTTATTACGCCTGAGAACTTAGCAGATGTTTAGCTCCCAGGTGTAAAAGTTGACAGTTATTGAACAAAAGTATAGCTGTACTGTAATCTTATGACACCATGGAATGAAAGTAGGACTACGATGTGATATTATGATGAGATGATATAAACACATCCGAATTCGGATCCTCACATATGTTTCTAACATAACATCTTCCACTAGCTAAAAAGCAGTCTGGGATAAAATCCATAAAATTAATGGAAAATATACCTCTCACTCTGTCTATGCTAGAAAATAATGGCACAATAATCAGCGATATACAGGATATTGCTGATACATTGGGTGAAACATTTTCCTCTTCATCTAGCAATATTATGTACCCAAGGAATTTTCAGGTTTAAAACCCAAAGTAAAAAACAATATTTAAACTTTCATTCTTCATCTAATGAGGATCATAATGTGCCATTCACTAGAATTGAATTACATACAGCAATCTCTAACTTGGAGAATAGTGCTGTAGGACCGGATAAAATCCATTACTGCATGATTAAGAATCTGTCAGACAATTCCCTTAGTAACCTTCTAAATCTGTTTAATGGAATTTAGACAAAACATACTTTTCCCGACTCTTGGAGGCTATCTATCATTATTCCCATTCCCAAGCCAGGTAAAGACCGTAAGAATCCGTCTACAGACCAATCTCTCTGACAAGTTGTCTCTGTAAACTCTTCGAGAGAATGGTAGACGTCTAATATATCTCTTAAAGAAAATGAATACTTTTCACCACATCAGAGTGGTTTTCATAAAAACAGAAGTACCACGGACAACTTAGTAAACCTTGAAACATCTGTATGCGAAGCATTTGTTAGACGACAGCACTTAGTGTTTGTGTTTTTTGATATAGAGAAGGCCTATGATCGATGTTGGTGATATCGGATACTCCGTTATATGTACAAATTCGGGTTGCGGGGTAATTTGCCAATTTTTAAAAAAAACTTCTTACAGAATCGAAGATTCCAAGTCAGGATGGGCAACACAGTATCTAGGCTCTTCACACAAGAAGAAGGTGTTCCTCAAGGTTCTATTTTGAGTGTGACTCTGTTCCTAATTAAAATTAACAGCATAGCTATGTGTCTTCCTCCTAGTGTAAAACACTCTCTGTATGTGAATGACTTTCAGATCTACCAGTCTAGTAACATGAGTTTCATTGAGAGACAACGCAAACTTCCCTAAATCGCATATACGATTGGTCCAAGACCAATGGTTTTACTTTTAGCACAGAGAAGACTTCATGCATCCACTTTTGCTGAAGGCGTGGTTTGCACCTGGATCCCAAAATTTATCTGAATGAGGTTAAAATCCCAATTGTGAATGAGGCTAAATTTTTGGGTGTTGTATTTGACCAAAAACTGACCTTTTTGCCATACGTGCACAATTTGAAGAGTATAATTATATTTAAAAGCTCTAAACTATTTAAAGATACTGTGCTGCTCATCCTGGGCATCATATAAAGTTTCTATGCTCAGGATTTATAGGGCCCTTGTCTGTTCTAAGCTGGACTACGGATGCATTGTTTATGGCTCTGTGCGAGAATCTACTCTTTGGATGCTGGACCCAATCCAGCATCAAGCTTTGCTTTTGTGCACTGGTGCATTTCGAACTTCTCCTGTCCAAAGTTTGTATGTGGATTCTTATGAGCCTCCACTATCTCTGAGGAGAGAACAGTTGTCTCTTTTTTACTACATCAAACAGAAATCTTTGAATAGACTTTCAGCTAATAGTTCAGACACTAAGCTGAAAAGGTTATTTGCTGCTCGGACAAGTTGTGTCCCTACTATTGTCATAAAAATGGAGAATGTAAGCAGCATGATTGACCTGGACACAAGCAACATCTCACAGGTTGAGGTTAATAGTATTCCACCTTGGTCAACCCCACCGATAAATGTTGATCTAAGCTTAAAGCGGTTCCACAAAGAAATCACACCAGACTACATCTATAGACAGCACTTCGCCGAAATTGAAAATCGTGACAGATAGAAAAAAGTAACACGCGTTGGGAGCTAAACGTTTCCTTGCTCAATGACGTTGACTTTCTTGCCGAGATTACATCCAAGATCCTATTCGATCAACATCACGAGAACCCTGTTAAATGATGGCAAGAACTGAAAATTTCTCAAAACTTTGGCTTCTGCTTTTTGTTGCGAGCTAATTTGGATTGCCATCCAAATTAGCTTGCAACAAAAAGCAGAAGCCAAACAACGGCAACGGGAATTAAATAAACTAAAAGAAGCAGTAGAGAAAAATATAATGAACCCAGGCAGTCACAGAGAGGACATCCAAATTGCCAAAGATGAACTTAGGCACATGCAGGAAAGTAAGCTATGCAGGGTATTCATCCGCTCTCGGGCAGAGCTCCACAGCATGGAGCGTAAACCCACAAAACGCTTCTATCAACTAGAAAGAAAGCTTATAATAAGTAAAATAATTGAGGAATTAAACACAAACTCCCATTTGTGTTTAATTCCTTAATTATTTTACTTTTTATAAGCAGACAACGAAGACGATACAGTCAGTATATCTGAATTATTGATACTCCAAAAGCCTGTTTTCCAAGAAACAATACCATTCCAAAAATGCAAAAAAATTTTATTCCTCTGTTGCCTGTACTGTTGCCCAACAGAAGAAGCTCCTTAAATGAAGATATTACATATAACGAATGCCTGTGTATACTAAAATCCATACCCAACAATAAAGGTAAAATAGAAATTAAATATTTGTCATACGCTGACGACATTACTCTTATTCTAACCAGTTTGAACAGGCTTCAAGTACAGCAATCAATCCAAACAAATGTAAAGGTCTTTGGATTGGAGCATGGACTGACTTACCTAATACTTATAGTGGCTTTACTTGGAATAACATAAACTTAAAAATCGTTAGTAGTAATTCCCCTCAATGTGGGTTCCTGTCCGTGGTGAGGGGACCTCCCACAGATGGTTTAGTAACTCTTCTTTACCATCTCTGGGATCTGAACACCCACCCACGTGTTTGCTGTGCGTGGTGTCCGATATGCCGGAAAGGGAGATCCTGGTAGTTGAGGGGCAACATAACGTCCCCAACACAATGCTTTGGCCCCTGCTTCAAATAAACAAGAGGCTCAAATCAGGTTCCGTTTGAGTCAATCGGCTGGTCGTTGAATCATTCTTGACCTCGGCTTGGAGTCAACTGATCGATGCAGGCCGGGCAGACATGTCAGTCAACATGTGCTCTTCTTGACTGCATTGTGAGGGTATAGCTCCTGGGAAACACTGGTGTGACGGTCTATGGGAGTCTCCCATGTGACGGCATCCCCTTGTTGGGCCACGTGGTGGGTGGGGTCACTAGGAGCTGAAATATTATTATTTAATCATGGATCATAAATCTCCAAAAAATACAGACAAACCAGAAAACATCAATGAAAATATTGCCAGTCAGCCATCCTACTTAATAGTGCATGCTACTGGGGAAAAACCTTTGTCAAAATGTTCCCCTTTTTTGATTCAGAAGTTATTTGAATCAACGATCGGGCACCTGAAAAAAACGCAAAAATTGAGGTCAGGAGACCTACTTGTAGAAACTGCCTCACCTCAACAGTCGGCAAAACTTTTAGCTGCAAAGAAATTGGGAGACATTGAAGTCACAGTCACACCACATGGAAGTTTGAACTCTTCACGTGGTGTGATATCTGAGTTTGATCTGATGTCTGAAGATGAATCAGATATTCAGATTGGCCTTTCAGACCAAGGTGTTACTGCTGTCCGACGTATCTCCATTCGTCGGGATGGCAAGTTAATACCAACTAAACATTTAATCCTCACCTTTAACAAGCCGACATTGCCATCTTTTATTACAGCAGGTTATCTGCGCTGCCCTGTCCGTCCGTACGTTCCAAATCCGCTGCGTTGTTTCAAATGCCAGCGGTTTGGACATTCACAGACATCCTGCCGTGGCAAGAGCGTATGTGCACAGTGTGGGACTGAAGGTCACGAGAGTACTGAGTGTACCAGTACCCCATGCTGTGTTAACTGCAAAGATGCCCATCCTTCTTACTCCCGAAAATGCCCTGCATGGCAAAGAGAAAAGGAGATACAACGGGTGAAAACAGTAAACAACTTACCTTACCCAGAGGCGCGCCGAATGGTCACTTCAAGTGCACCACTAAAACAAAAGACATTCGCTGCGGCTTTGAAGTCCACAAAAACATGTGGAGTTCAAACCGACATTTCTGTCTCCCCAAAGGAATCCCTTACCAGGCATGCGAAATGTTTAATGATTCCACGAAAAGAAACACCAGAAAAGGAGAGTTTAAAAGCAAAAACACCCCTACCTAAAACAGGGGTAATAACAAAAAACCTGGGTTCTAACAAGGCTAGTAAGAACCCACTAAACAAGCAGAGAGTAAAAGCAGCTCTCTCTAAATGTAAAAAATCAGAAGCCCACTCTATGAGTGAGTTTTCTTATATCTCTGATGAAGAGACTAATCAAAAGGTGACAAAACCAATATCACCTCCAAAAGAAAAACCCCCGGTTAGATTAAAGAGAGATAATCTCACAAAGAATGCTGCCTCAAACACATAATGGGTTATAAAATAACCCAATGGAACTGTCGTGGTTTCCGCAACAACTTCTCTGACATTAAACACTTGACATCATCTACTCAATCTCTCTGCGTGGCACTCCAGGAAACCCATCTAAAACCTGGAGAAAATATTTCTTTAAAAGGATTCGATCTATACCGCAAGGATGATGATAGCCACAACCGTGCCAGTGGAGGTGTGGCTATTCTGGTTTCCAATCACTTCCCATCCTTGCCGGTACAAATAACCACTGATCTGCAAGCTGTGGCAGTCAGAATTTCTATCGGAGTAACTGTTACAGTTTGTTCTATATACTTGCCACCAGATGTCAGAGTGAATGAGGATGAATTGGATACATTAGTTGAACAGCTGCCAACTCCATATCTTTTACTAGGTGATTTCAATGGCCACAATCCCATGTGGGGCAGTCTCGACATCAATCGTCGAGGCAGAACCATTGAGAGATTTATCGGCAACCAGGAAATATATTTATTTAATACTGGAGAAGTGACATACTTCCATGCCCCAACAAGGACATTCACTGCAATTGATCTTTCATTAGCAAGTCCAAACCTGTTTTCAGCATTTTCATGGGAGGTTGGATGTAATCCACTCTCTAGTGACCACTTCCCAATATTTCTAAAATATCGAGGCAGAGAAAGCTGTGAAACAGCTCGTCCACCACGCTGGAAACTTGAAACGGCAGATTGGCCTGCCTTTTCTTCTTTAGCTAACATCACTGAGGAAATGGTCAATACTGCAGATATTAACAATGCAGTTGAGGTTGTCACTTCTAGTATCATTGAAGCAGCACAAAAAACAATGGGGATAACATCAACCATATATCCAAAGCATCAGAAACCATGGTGGAACCAGAATTGTGAGGCAGCATTTAAAGCACAAAAGAAAGCATGGGGGATTTTTAGAAGATACCCCACTGCTGAAAATTTGGTCGCTTTTCAAAAAGCAAAAACAAATGCCAGAAGGATAAGAAGGCAAAGCCAAAGGGATTCTTGGAGAAAGTATGTTTCAAGCATAACATCTTCCACTAGCTCAACAGCAGTCTGGGATAAAATCCATAAAATTAATGAGAAATATGCTTCTCACTCTCTGTCCATGCTGGAAAATAATGGCACAATAATCAGCAATATACATGGTATTGCTGATTTATTGGGTGAAACATTTTCTGCTTCATCCAGCAATATTGTGTATTCAAGGAATTTTCAAGCTTATAAAGCCCAAAGAGAAAAACAGTATTTAAACTTTTACTCCTCATCTAATGAGGAATATAATGTGCCATTCACTAGAATCGAATTACAAACAGTGATTTCTCGTGCAGGGAATAGTGCTGTAGGCCCGGATAAAATCCACTACAGCAAGATTAAAAATCTGTCAAACAATTCCCTCTCTAATCTCCTGCATCTGTTTAACAGAATATGGACAGAAAATACTTTTCCTGACTCTTGGAGACTATCAATTATTATCCCTATCCCAAAACCCGGTAAAGACCGGAAGAATCCTTCTAATTACAGACCAATCTCTTTAACAAGTTGCCTGTGAAAACTCTTTGAGAGGATGGTAAACAGACGCCTGATGTTCCTCCTAAAGGAAAAAAAACTACTTTTCACCACATCAGAATAGATTTCGTAGGAACAGAAGTACCACGGACAATTTAGTAAAACTTGAAACATCCATACGCGAAGCGTTTGTTAGACGACAGCACTTAGTGTCTGTTTTCTTTGATATAAAAAAGGCCTATGATCGCTGCTGGCGTTACGAAATACTTCGTGATTTACATGAATTTAGACTGCGGGGTAATTTGCCAGTTTTTATAAAAAAACTTCCTGCAGAATCGAAGATTCCAAGTTAGGATGGGCAACACACTATCTAGATCTTTTGTCCAAGAAGAAGGTGTTCCTCAAGGATGCATTTTGAGTGTGACTCTGTTCCTAATTAAAATTAATAGCATAGCTAAGTGTCTTCCTCCCAGTGTGAAACACACTTTGTATGTGGATGACTTTCAGATCTCTTGCCAGTCTAGCAACATGAGTTTCATTGAGAGACAACTGCAAACCTCCCTAAATCGCATAGACCATTGGTCCAAGACCAATGGTTTTAGTTTTAACACTGAGAAGACCTCGTGCACCCACTTCTGCCAAAGCGTGGGTTGCACTTGGATCCCGAAATTTACTTAAATGGGGTCAAAATCCCAATGGTGAATGAGGCAAAATTTTTGGGTGTTTTGTTTGACCATAAACTAACGTTTTTGCCGCACTTGCGCAATTTGAAGAGTAGATGTCTAAAATCTTTGAACCTTTTAAAGGTACTGTGCTGCTCATCCTGGGGAGCAGACAAAGTTTCTATGCTCAGGATTTATAGGGCCCTTGTCCGCTCAAAGCTGGACTACGGATGCATTGTTTATGGGTCAGCGCGAGAATCTACTCTTCGGATGCTGGATCCAATCCACCATCAAGCACTATGTTTGTGCACTGGTGCTTTTCGAACTTCTCCTGTACAAAGTCTGTATGTGGATGCTTATGAGCCTCCACTATATCTTAGGAGAGAACAGTTGTCTCTATTTTATTATATAAAACAAAAGTCCTTTAGTGAACCTTCAGTTGATTGTATAGTATTAGATACTCAGCTGAAAAGATTATTTGAAGCTCGCCGAAGTAGTGTCCCTTTATTCGCCATAAGAATGGAGAATGTGAGCAGCAGGATTGACCTGGATACAGGCAACATTTCACAGCTAGAGGTCTGTAGTGTATCACCTTGGTCAACTCCTGTGATAAATGTTCACCTTAGCCTAAAGCAATTTCCTAAGGAATCCACACCTGACTACGTCTATAGACAGCACTTTGCAGAAATTCAACATAGAAACAGGAATTTAATTCCTATTTATACAGATGGATCTAAATCTGATGATTACGTTGGCTCAGCTTTCGTCTGCCAGGATGAAATCGTGGCAAAACAAATTGCATTAAATTCCTCCATCTTTTCTGCAGAGTTGCATGCTATTTATTTAGCCTTATAGCATGTAAATAGGAAAGGTCATCGTTGCTGTGTGATCTATACCGACTCTGTTAGTGCACTCAAGGCTTTGATCTCGTGCGAACCTAGTTCCCCACTCTATAGTGATTAAAATTCATAATCTTATTTGCCATCTTTTTACGAGGAATCTCTCTATAAAATTTTGTTGGGTACCTGGGCATGTTGGCATAAGAGAAAACGAAGAAGCTGATGCAGCTGCAAAGGCAGCTAGTCCTTCACAGCATGAAATGTGTCTCGAAAGAAGTGACTTGAAGCTAGTAGTTAAAAAACGACTAGCAAAGAGATGGCAAAACATGTGGAATGCACAAATCCACAATAAACTACACAAGATCAAGCCAAATATAAAAAATTGGACACGTAACAAACATTATGACAGGAGATTTGAAGTAATTCTTACTTGTTTGAGAATTGGGCATTCTCGGTTGACTCATTTATACCTTTTGAAGGGTGAAGACCAGCCAGTATGTGAGTATTGCAACTGCACCCTAAGTGTAAAACACATGCTGTGCAATTGCTCTGCTTTCAAGACAAGGCGTAGACAATATTTCGGAAATGCTTGTCTGACAGAAATCCTTGGCCAAAGGCCAAATGTCAATAATTTACTAGACTTTCTGAAAGTCACTAATTTTTATAAACAAATTTGAATATTTATTTATTTACCTATTCATTTATCTATACTTTTATATACCTTGTTTTTATTTATTGTTAGTGTTGTATATGTTTGTTATTGTTATTTGTTATTAATTTTTAATATATGTATATATGACCTTTTTAATTTTACCATTTAACATGGCGCAGCATAGCCTATATGGCTTTGTGCCAAAAAACCTTAACAAACCAACCTACACTGACTCAGTTAGTGCACTTCAGGCTTTGATTTCATGTGAACCTAGTTCTCACTCTATAGTGATTAAAATTCGCAAATTGTTTTGCCATCTTACTGCGAGTAATTTCTTTGTAAAATTTTGTTGGGTCCCAGGCCACGTAGGTATAAAAGGGAATGAAGAAGCTGACGCAGCTGCAAAGTCAGCTACTCCTTTACAGCATATAATGCGTATTGAAGGAGATGATTTGAAGCTAGTAGTTAAAAAACGACTAGCAGAGAAATGGCAAAACGTGTGGAATGCACAAGTCCACAATAAACTACATGAGATCAAGCCAAATATAGAAAATTGGACACATAATAAACAGTATGACAGGAGATCTGAAGTAATTCTTACTCGTTTGAGAATTGGGCATACTCGGTTGACTCATC